AGGCAGGAGCAGGAATGGAGGCAGGAGCAGGAATGGAGGCAGGAGCAGGGATAGGGGCAGGAGCTGGGATGGGGACAGGAGGAAGGATGCAGGCAAGAGGAAGGATGGGGCAGGAGCAGGGATAGAAGAGGAGCAGGGATAGAAGAGGAGCAGGAATGCAGGCAGGAGCAGGGATGAGGCCGGGAGCAGGGAAGGGGACAGGAGGAGGGATGGGGACAGGAGCAAGGATGCAGGCAGGAGGAAGGATGGAAGCAGGAGGAAGGATGGAGGCAGGAGGAAGGATGGAGACAGGATCAGGGATAGAAGAGTAGCAGGGATAGAAGAGGAGCAGGGATGGAGGGATGGATGAATGGAAGCAGGGAAGGATGGAGACAGGAGGAAGGATGGAGACAGGAGCAGGGATGAAAGAGGAGCAGGGATGGAAGGATGGATGGAAGCAGGGAAGGATGGAGACAGGAGCAGGGATGGAACAGGAGCAGGGATGGAAGGATAGATGGAAGCAGGGAAGGAGGGAGGGAGGCGGCTCCGGGGGCGGGCAGCCGGCAGGATGCTGTCACGCCGGGGGCGGGCCGGCCCGCGATGACTCAGCCTCCGGGAGCTGCCCCGGCCGTGGTTACCGAGCGCTTGCGGGGCCGTGCGGGGCCGTGAGTGCCGGTGAGTCCCGGGGACGAGCATAAAAAGCGCAGCGGGAGCGGGTGCGGGTGCGGCGGCGGGGATCGGTAAGGGTAGGGATGCTGCGGGACCGGGAACACGCGTGGGGCGGGGGGATTGGGGCAGCACCTTCCACAGTGCCGTGAGGGCCACGGGACACCCGCAGTACAACAGCAGCAGCAGCAGCAGCAGCGTCTCCGCTTTTCCCAGCGGCTTTTTTGTGGATTTTTGTCCGTGGCTGGGATGCGGAATGCGGGATGAGGGAGGGGGATGCGCTGGTGCGCGGGGGTGTGGATTGTTGCAGGGAAAACGAGCCCTCGAAACGCAGCAAAACATTCAGGAAGGGTTATGGAAGGAGAGAGGAAACCATGTTTTTATGATAGAGGCAGGAAAAACACCGCAGCCCTGCTCGTCAGCTGACGCCGAGGTCGGTTTGGCACCCTGGGAACATCCCGTGATGCGCGGCCCAGCCTGGCTCTGGAGCTGGACCGTGGCTTGGGAATGGCGCTGGAAAACCTGCCATGCACCCCTCTGGCCTGGAATGAATCTTTCATCCCCCTCTTCTCCTCTCAGGGATGCTTTGCGGGCGTGAGACAGCAAAGATCGCTTCCTTCTGGCATTTCCCGCTGGGTTGCAGATGTAGGGAAGGGATTTCCGTAGCACGGGGTGTGCGGGGGCTTGTGCAAGACTCGGGTTTATGRATTGGTCTGAGAAGCAGAGGAAAAAAAAAAATCAGTGCAGCTTCATTTGGGAGGAATCCTGTGCTTTCTGTGTATGGAAGCTGCAGAGGTGGGTGCTGCAGCTTGTCTCAGGAGGGATTTGTTTTGCTGGGAAAAGAGGARCCAGGTCTAGTGCGTTTGCAATTAGATGACCTTTAGGGTCCCTTCCAACCTAAACCTTTCAAGGATTATGTCATCTAATCCGTGCCAGTGATCTGGCTTTGCTAGAAGGCAATAAGTGTGGGGAGGAGCGATTCATGTTGTTTTTTCTTGAAGAAAAAAAAAATTCAAGCTTTGGTAATGCAGCAAGAGCCGTGATGAAGTCATCAGACCACGGGTTTGGTTCTGCCAAGCTCACCTGGTGACACAGCAGGCTGAGCTGGATCCAGAGCTGGACCTTTATGGGTTTGCTTTGTTGTGGTTTGGAGTCACAAACCCTGGCAAAGAGAACAAAGGACAAAGCTGGGCCCAGGCAAGGGTTGGTGCTGAGCAGGACACATGACTTGGGCTGTGCTGAGCACCCCTAGCCCTGGAGGGTGGGGGTGCTGTAAAAGGGAGGGTGGGACAGGTTTTATCTCCCTAGAGCCTTGGAGGAGCTGTGGGTGCCTCTGTCTGTGCCTGGAGGGTGCCTCTGTCTGCCTGGCCCAGACGGATCAGGGGCTGGGAGATGCTTCAGGGCTGTGGTCCGACCTGCCTGGGCTGAGTCATGTGAGCTGCGCTTGGAATAGCCGGTTTGGGGGTTGGGTTGTTGGTTTTTTTCTTAAAAAAAAATAAATGGGATTTGTGAGCTTAGATTTTGGGGAAGGAGACCTTTTTGGTGCAAAGGTGAAGGGATTTGGGAGGGTGATGTGGGATCCTGCTGATGGTGCAATAACAGGGTTCGACTCTCAGGTGTTGTGTCGGTGAGAAAACGGGCAGGGAAATGCCCCTGGCACCCAGATCTGGTCAGGAGGGATGGAGACAGCGCTTGGGTGGTGTCTCCTTCTTCTCTCCTCCTCCTCCTCCTCCTCCTGCTCTGCGACAGCACAGGGATGTGGGTGGATGCTGCAGCGCCAGCGCAGCCTCAACCCTCGGGCTGCTCTCCTCCCTCGCAGCAGCTTCTGTTGCAGAGCCTTCGGCCTCGCTGCCTCCTCCTCCTCTCTGCCTGCTCAGGGACACTYCGGGGCTGCACTCAGCTGGCCACATTTCCTCTTTCTGAGCACACAGCGAGCATCCCGCCCAGGGTCAGGTGTGTCAGTGGGTACTTACTTCTTGTTTATCCTTTGAAAAATGAAGATTAGCAGATATTTTGGACCCCAAAGTATTCTCTGCTCCCAGGGCTGCAGTCCAGGGGCAGCTGGAGCAACCTGAGGGGCTCTTTGCAAGCCCCAAACATCTTCCTGCCAGCTGGGGAGCTCTGTAGGGTCAATCTGCCRTGCCCTAAGAAGCCCCACAGCCGTGTTCGAGTTTCCAAGGTGATGGGATATGTTGGGATGTGAGCTGTGGTGGGATGTGAGCCTTGTCCTGAAGCTGTGAGGCACCTCTGGAGATGTGGGAGGGGGTGCAAAGGGCAGGGATCTGCTGGGGTTTCCTGGAGAAACTCCTCTGTCCTGTTTGCTGTGCTGAAGGAGAGCGGGCGGTGGGGTGCAGCAGCTGTTGTGCAATTTTGGTTTTGGTGCTGCTGCTCTGGGGTTTGAAGGGCCGTGTTTTTAGGGCTGTGAGGAGGAGATAGCGGTGCTGGGGGAAGAGCAGGGTGTGATAATGCTGCTGGGGGAAGTTCTTGCTGCTCGGATCAGCTGGGACAGGGGGTGAGGGAGGAAATCAGCAGCTCTGTGGTGGTGTGACCTACGGCTGGTGGCGATCAGTCCTGCTGGTCCCGTGCCTCAGTGTCCTATTTATAGACCTGCTGTGCACAGGATCAAGGCAKGGAGAAGGAGGGGGGGTTAGGGAGGAAGAACTCCCACGGGATGGAAGATTTCCCCTCYCTTTTCCAGACAGATCCTGGGGATACCTGGTGCCAGCCACCCAAAACTTCAGAATAACTGAAAGGTTTGTGTTGGAAGGGATGTTTAAAGGTTGTGTAATTCCAACCCTGCTGCCATGGGCAGGGACATCTTTAACTCTAGATCAGGCTGCTCARAGCCCCATCCAGCCTGACCTTGAATGTTTCTCAGGATGGGGATCCCCCATTTCTTGGGGCGTCCTGTTCTAGTGCCTCACCACCCTCACAGGGAACAATTTCTTCTTAATATCCCATTTATCCCTGCCCTCTGGCAGTGGGTCCTGCCCCTCCATCCCTTATCCCCAGTCCCTTTCCAGCTCTCCTGGAGCCCCTTTAGGCTCTGGAAGGGGATCTGAGCTCTCCCTGGATCCTTTTCTTCCCCAGGCTGGACTCCCCCAGCTCTCTCATGCTCCATGCCCACAGGAGACTTGGCAAGAGAGGTTTTTTTTTTGCCTAAAAAGCCATCTGGCTCCCAGCTATTTGCTTTGCTGAGTTTGCTGGCCTTGAGCCACATCCGTGGTGCAGATGCAAAGCAGCAGAGCTGCAACTCTGCCTGTTGGAGGAGAAACTGCGGGGATCTATTTTCAGTTTGGTTTTGGGTTGCCTGGAGTGTGTGGTCTGGTAACCYGAGGTCGGGAGATGTCCCGTGTCTGTCCCTCAAAAGCTGGGTGCCAGCAGCTCACCCATGCCTGGCAGGGTGGTTTTCAGCTTGTCAGCAGATTTGCAAACATCCTGCCGAAAAAAAAAGTTTATCATGTGACTTCTGGCCTCAAAAACACCTCCTGACCGTGCTACAGGAAATACAGAGTTGACTGCAGGAGGGTTTTGGTTTTGATATTTGTGTGTATGTGTATTTTTAAAAAAAATTTCTAAGGTTTTTCATTAAGAAGGTGTTTCAGGTCATCTGCAGGCTGCCTGTGGCCATGTTGAAGGAGCCCAGGACAAAAAGCACAGTTGTATTAGAAAATTGTATTTATTTTCCTGGGTGTAACCTCCTTCCTGGGCTGAGTGAGCAGGGGAGCGCTGCCAGCGAGTCCCTCGCCTGCAGAAACCTCTAAGCAAGAAAAATACATGAAACCCCTGCAAACATGCATAAAACCCCTTCAAAGAGGTGGGATTTAGGAGTAGGAGRACCCACGTGCTGCCAAAACTCTGCTATTTTTCGGGCTGAGCATCCTGCTGAAAGCACAAAGAAGAGRGGGAAAAAATTAAATGGTGAGAAGGAGGAGGGGGGAAAGGAGAAAAAAGCCCCTTTATACAGCGAGCTGCAGCCGCCTGGGCTCGCTGCTGGCAGAAAGTAGGACACTCCTGCTGGGTTTTCTTCTCTGGGAAGGCTAAACTTGGCTGTGAGTGGGTGGAAGCAGCCGGCAGGGAGGTGTGTGTGTGTCTCCCATCGCCGTCCCCTGCTCATCCAGCACTGCTGCCCTGGGGAGCTGCTGGTGGGAGCTGCGTGTCCGGTCTGAGCCTGGGCTTGCTGAGGTGGTCACACCTTCAGCTGGCTGAGATAAGTGGGAATTTAAAAAAAATATTCATTAAAAAATGAATATCTGTGCTGGGGAGGATTTGAGGTCTTGGGCGGCTCGTTAGGGGTGGGTGTGGGGTTGGTTTGGAGGGGGAGGAGGGTGCCCTGGTGTGTTTGTGGAGATAAAGGAGCTTGTGACCTTGTGGTGTGTCTGAATCAGGCGTGGGGACGTGGAACAAGCGCTGGGGGTTAATTTGGAGTTGGGCAATTCCGTGTGAATTGGGTTAAAGGAGAGCAGGGAAACCACGGAGCCCTGGCACGTCTTTGCAGGATGCTCGTGCTCCTGCATGGGAGGCTCTGGGCCATGCTTTCCTGCTCTTGGATGTCCCCTGCATCTCTGAGCCCCAAATTGGGGCTTTCCTGGTGCTCTGCATCCCCGTGGGGAAAATCTCCAGTGGGAGGGGAGTGGAGGACAGCAGCCATGGGCAGCTCCAGTGCACGTTGACCCCCCTGTGCATGGGCAGGGGTCACACCTGGGGCTGTAACCCCACTCTGGGTCCCCAGGGCTGGCCAAAATGAGGCTGTAAAGTCCAAAAATGTAATTTGGAGTGATGCTTTTAAAGGGAAGAGCAGGGTCAGGGCCAGTCAAATCCCATGCCTGCAGCTTGCTGTGGAGGAGGGTGGTCACTTACTCCTTTTCTTGGTCCTCAGTCTCCATTTTTGAGGAAGTAAACACAGGTTTTAATACCTTCCAAATCCCTTGGATCTGCTTCAGAAGGTATTTTCCTGCTGCTGCTAMTCCTGCAGTGGTCAACAAACAAGTTTGCCTTGTCTGGTTTCTCCTGAGCTRCAGGAGAGGGGGGTTGTGGCACTGTTCCTGTGTCTCTCCTGACCTTTGGGGCAGTTTGGGATTTGCAGGGACTTGGTGCAGCCCCACATTTTAWCCTCCCACGTGTTGGATGTTTTAAATAATGCCTTAATCTGGCTGCAGGTGGAGTGTCCCGTTGTGCAGTAGCCAAGATGTGGCCGTCCCTGTCCCTCCTGTGCGTTCTGGTGGCCTTCGCCAACGCTCGCAGCGTCCCTTACTTCCCTCCCCTCTCTGATGACCTGGTCAACCACATAAACAAGCTCAACACCACCTGGAAGGTGAGTACCAGGCCGATTTTGGGGGTTTTTTTTGGATGCATTGCTGCCAGTCCCCGTGTGGGATTCAGTGGCTGAGCTTTGGGAGTGTCACCATGGTGGTGGCATCGATCCAGCCTCAATCCCAGGTGACTTTTCCAGTGAAGTGATGAGGGATTTCCACTGAGGGATTCCTGCAGTGGCAGRAGCTGTGGAGCTCCTCCTCTTYRGAGCAGATTATGATGGATTTGTGGRRTAGGAGCAGTGTAAGGGRAGGAAAYTCTGCAGGAGGCTGGAAACAATCAGCAAGTGGCTAATTATTGGTGACCTGACCCTTCTTGGCCAATTTGCTGTGTCCAAAGCCTCCAGCTGGACCTTGCTGGTTCTGATGGGCTGATCTGGGCTGGGTTCGGTGTGCCTCTTGGTCCTTGGGCTTTGCTGCGAGCATCAGGCTGGGGTTGGGATTCAGGGAGCTCTGGAATGCTAGGCTGTGCTCCCAGCCATGCTCTTGTGGCCCTGGAGAGCCGTGTCCCATTTCTGTGTGTCTCTTCCCAGGCAGGGCACAATTTCCACAATGCTGACATGAGCTATGTGAAGAAGCTCTGTGGCACCTTCCTGGGTGGGCCCAAGCTCCCCGAGAGGTGAGTGCAGCGAGGAGGAGCTGAAGCTCCAGTGAAACCTTGGGTGGATCCTCCACGAGTGTCTAGAGAGGGTGAGGGGCTCCCGTGGGTGCAGCTCACAGAATTGAGCACAGAGCACATGAGAGGGGAAGGAAAATCCATCCCAGAAGAAAAATCCAGATCCTTGGCCGGTTGTGCAGTTTGTTATCCGTGAAAATGRGCGCTGAGGGCTGAAAAGGAGCTGCTGACCCGCTCTGAGGACATCTCGAGTGTTTGTGCTCCTTCAGTCAGCAAAGAGCAGCCCTCRTCCTCCAGGTCACCTTCAGAGGAGGTGGGGGAGTGCAGGGCACTCAGTTCTGGTCCCCTGGTGCTGCTGTGACAGTGTCCCTGTCCTTCCCTGTCCTCACAGGGTGGATTTCGCTGCGGACATGGAGCTGCCYGACAACTTCGACTCGCGGACACAGTGGCCCAACTGCCCCACYATCAGCGAGATAAGGGACCAGGGCTCCTGTGGCTCCTGCTGGGTGAGGACAGGGCTGGGTTGGGGTCGTGCTGATGAAATCTCCTGGACTAAAACTGTGCCTTTGAATTTGCTGCTGAACCATCCATAGACCGGGTTCCAGTCCTGTCCAGCCTGCCCTTGCACATTCCAGGGATGGGTTATCTTCTCTGGGCACCCTGTGCCAGGGCTTCCCCACCCTCACAGGGAGCAATTCCTTCCCAATATCCCATCTGTCCCTGCCCTCTGGCAATTTGAAGCCATTCCCTGTGTCCTGTCCCTCCATCCCTTGTCCCCAGTCCCTCTCCAGCTCTTCTGTAGCCCTTTTAGGCCCTGGAAGGGGCTCTGAACTCTCCCTGGAGCCTTTTCTTCACCAGGTGAACATCCCCAGCTCTCCCACTCTGGCTCCACCCTCGGAGCATCTTTCTTTTGCCTTTCCTGGAGGGACACTGTGGGATCTTTCAGTGTCTGAGCTSCTGGGTGGCTTCTCCCAGCCAAGCCACGCCTGCTGCACTCATTTCCAGGAGGTTTCCTGCTTTCTCTCCCCTGCCCAGCTCTAATGGGTGTTTTGGGGCTGCCCTCAGGCTTTTGGCGCCGTGGAAGCGATTTCRGACCGGATCTGTGTCCACACCAACGCCAAGGTCAGCGTGGAGGTCTCAGCTGAGGATTTGCTGTCGTGCTGTGGCTTCGAGTGTGGCATGGGGTGAGCTGCTGCTGCTCCTCGGGCACGGGGGAGGTGGTGGGGAGGAGCAGGGACACCCTGGAGGTGCTGATTGCTTCAGCCCTGCCTTTCTTACCTCCCTAACGAGCAGGAAGCCCCTCCAGGGGTTTGTCCTGTGGATGAGGGAGTCAGGTGGGAGCATAAAGGTGATTCCAAGTCCCTCTGGGGACACATCCTGTCACCAGCATCGTGAGTGGTGATGGCTGCAGGCACAGAGTGATGCTCTCCCACACAGAGCTGGCAGCTGCCACAACCAAGGGAAAGATAATTTCAGATTCCCAGGTCCTTGGTTTTTAGGYACAAGCCCTTTCCCAGCTGCTGAGCACAGGGTAGGGAGCTGGGTCTCCAAGTCCTGGCAGCAGAAGCTGATCAGGGACCTGTTTAAGGGGGCACTTTGTGATTTGGGGTCATGGGTGCTCTCAAAGCTGAGGCTTTGGTGTCTTACGGCATGTCCTGAGCAAGGCAGGAACAGACTGAAAAAAGGTTTAATGTGCTCAAAGCTTGCCTTGAGCCTCCCAGGCTGGCTCCATCCCCCTGCCTCCCCCACAATGGGGTGGCTGGGGCTGGAGCTGGTGCCTCTCCCCCCAGGTGCAATGGGGGGTACCCCGCCGGCGCCTGGAGGTACTGGACAGAGCGGGGCCTCGTGTCCGGGGGTCTCTACGACTCCCACGTGGGTAAGTCCTGCCAGACACCTCTGAGAATGCAAAAAGAATCTCTGTCATGTTCTTTGGGATGCTTCTCTCCTGCTCTGCATCCTTGTGGCTGCTCCCTCCTTCAGGTCTGGGCTCAACCCGAGCATCTCTGCAGTCCCAGCTGGCTGCTCCTGCCCCCGTGACCCTTTCTGGTCACTCCTTGGGGACAAGGGTCCTTGAGCAGCACCTAGAGGCAGGAGGCCCATCTGGGAAGGGAGCCAGGAGCTCTTAACAACCTCCCAAGGCTCCCATTTCCATTGCAGGAATGACTCAGGCTGTGAATTTTGTGTTGTTGCTGGTTTTGAACCAGCTCACTGCACTTTGGATGAGGTCAGGAGTCCTGCTGACAACATTCCCCTTCAAAAAATTCCTCCCAGGCTGGAACCCTCTGCCTCCCCCTGCTATGAACATCAGCTGGTTCATGTTTCCACCTTTCCCATCACCTTTTGAAGAGGGAGGTTGTGGGAAATAAGCTCAGAGGGAAGCCCATTGCTGAGGGAGGGATTTCCCATCTGGCAGGGGAAGAGCTACTCCTGCACCCCACTGATTTGTGGGGTTCCTGGGGCAGCAAGGCCCTTTCTTGGAGCATCTGGAGCCTTCTCCAGCGTGTCTGCTGGCATCTTTGGGGACAGCCAGCTCATGTCTCCTCTGTCCTGGACAGGCTGCCGGCCCTACTCCATCCCACCCTGCGAGCACCACGTCAATGGCACCCGACCCCCCTGCACYGGGGAGGGAGGAGGAACCCCGAGATGCAGCCGGCACTGCGAGCCCGGCTACTCACCCTCGTACAAGGAGGACAAACACTATGGTAAGGGASCTGCTCCTTGTGTTTCCAGGGCTGGACCCATCCCTGGTGGTTGTTTCCTGTCCCCTGTCCCTGGAGGCTCCATCCTGGTGCTCCTGGAGCAAACCTGAGCATGGCAGATGCCCAGTTTGTGTTTGCTGAGGCTCAGCTGGGAAGGGGGARCTGGTGGAACTGGTTTGAGTCCTCRTGGTGCACGTGGCTGGGTTGAAATGTGTGGTGCTGAGCCCCATCTGGTGTCAAAGCCACCTCCAGGTCTCCTTGGCAGCAGCCAGCCCTGTGCATTTAGGATCATCCAGCTGATTATTGGAGATGGAATTATAGAGACAGATTCTTAGCCTCGAGTCTTTTGGGTTGTTTTAAAAAGGAGGATGTACAAAGAGAAAATGTTCCTAAAAAAATGTCCCTTCTCAATAAAGGGAATAAGTCTTTGGGTACAGATTTAAATAATTCTGATTAAATAATTCTGGTTAAATAATTCTGATTAAATAAATTCTGGAAGAGAGGTGGCTGGAGCACACTTCCCCTGTTTGGCCCCCTCTGGAGCAGCTGGGTTTGAATTTCACCCGAATTTAAGTGCAAGAGGCCTCTTGCAGGGTGCCAGTCGAGCCACCYTCTGTCACCTGACGGTGCCATCCTAATGGTGGGGATATTTTTCCTCTAAGGCATCACATCCTATGGCGTCCCTCGCAGTGAGAAGGAGATCATGGCTGAGATCTACAAGAACGGCCCGGTGGAGGGAGCCTTCATCGTCTACGAGGATTTCCTGATGTACAAATCTGGTGAGCAGCAGCACTGGGGCTTTGGGGGGAGCTCTGTTCTCCCTTTCATCCATGGGGTTCCTCTTTGGTGGCCCTGGTTTTCCACTCGAGTCTGGGAGGAGATGTCAGGCTCACAGTTTAGTATCTGGGGTGACAAGGACATGGGCAGGTRCCATCTCCTGTGTCCATTGGTTTGTAGGAAGGGGAAGGGGTGYTTGGGGTTGGATTGGGGAGGGAGCCCTAATGGGGACTGCCCCAAATTYTGGGTGTCAGCAGCAGCTCAGA